TATTGCTGTACCATCTTTAATTAAACATTTCTTCTATTTTAATCTCGAAAAAATAAAATTATCGAGGTAGGACAAATTTGGAATACGACAGTATCCTACGCGAGGACGACAAGGGGAACTGCCTTAATAAATCGTGTGTTCTTCTGCTTTTTCTTTATTTCTATACTTGCTTACTAAACTGTACGAAAATTAATTTGTCAAATCTGCACTTATTGAAATTGTAGTGTGTTGAGTTCATTTCAAAACATTGGTAACAATCCTTTTGATTGATACCTAAGAAAACTTACCACTACAATTTTGTAAAACCAAACTTAAGGTGCTTTGCTCACAAGGTGTTTGACAAACTGACTAATCCACAAAATTATTGATTGTGCTTATCCTTATCTCATTCAAGTCATTGGTAGTAATTAGTAATCATTGAGAGTGTATAAGTAATTGATCAATTGAGCAAAACACATTGATTCTTATTTTGTCATTATATTCCATACGGTTTAGCATATCCGATCTTTTCAATAGAGGATTGTTTACACTATTAGAGATTCCAGGAAGGTTTCGCATATTTTTCTAAAAACAATTTTAAAAAGTGCAAATTATTTTATACGATCTATTCACCCCCCCCCCCCCCCTTAGATCGATCACATCGTCTAACAAAGTATACTCTTCTTTAGGTGGAGTATGATAGTTTTTAAAACTATGATTGTCGGTGAAGACAATGTAAAAATTCTTGGAGTGGTATAGCTTCAAGTGACTATACTCTTTATGGTGGAGTATTATTGTCGGTGAAGACAATGAAAGTTAATGTATTATTTTCAATCAAGGTAGATATTGTTAGGGTTGGTAGAAAATATACATGTTGATGAAATTCCACATCGCTTATTTTTGTAAAGGAAGAGGGAGTCTAAGACTATATATAGAATTAAAGATTTTCCAAGTCTCACATCGCTTAGTTTACTGAATGAAGAGGGAGTCCAAAGCTATATATAAGATTAAAGTTTTTTTTACAAGATGCACCAGTCAAAAGCACTATAAGTTTATATTTGACTTTTTATTTTCTCTTATGCTCTTGTGATAGAGTGTTGTGAGATGTAGTTAAATACTTACTTTAGAGAGTGTGGGTGTATTGAGGACTGTGGGGTAGGGATGTCAGTTTGGACCTGTTAATGGGGATCCCCGCGGGGAACGCCCCGTTCGGGGCCCCAAAGATGGGGAATTTTCCCCCGTGGGGGCGGGGATGGGGAGAAAAATTCCCCCGAGAGCATTTCGGGGACGGGGACGGGGAATACACCCCCCGCCCCGCGGGGACCCCGCCCCGCCTATTATTTTAATATAGTTAATTTAATATATATATTTTAGATTATGTTTTTTAGTCATTTCCTTTATTAGTGTTGATTACCTTTTAGTTTTTAAAGTATTTTTTTAAGTAAATATAATTATTGATTGTTTACTTTTCGTAGGAAAAAGAAAGTCATATCTAATTCTGGAATGAGGAAGAAGACCTTGCAAGGAGAAGTTGGAAAGAGAGACATGATTGATCATTACTTGTTTGGATATTTTGCTTAATATTTTAGTTTATTTATATGTAACTTTGTTTTAAGTATTTTGATATTTCTACTTTACGTGTGTTATCAATTGAGCAAATAGAGATATGTTGACTTTTGCTTTTAGTTGACTTATTATGAAGTATTTTTTAGCTTTTCAAGCATACTCATGATGCTAAATTTTATAAATATCCCTTATTAGTTTTGATGAAGTATAGTTTTTTAAGCATAATTATGTTGTTGGATTTTTTTAGTTGTTTAGGCATATTGTTACTTTAAAAAGTATTATAGTTCATTTTGTTGAATTTTATAGCATTTTATAGAAATTTATAAAAAAAATATTATTATTTTGTGTTCCATTAGTATTTTTAATAAAAAATAATAAATGTCAAATACTAGTATTTTTTAATAACATAATAAATATGTGAATTCTTTGTGCTTTTTATTTTTATAGAAAATATAAACATTTAAAAAAAATAAAATATTAATAAATAAATGTAGGATCTATGGGGATCCCCGCGGGGAACGGGGATCCGCGGGGAACGGGGATGGGGATAGAAATTCCCCCGTGACGGAGATCGGGGACGGGGACGGGGAATGAATTTGATGGCGGGGAAAAAGATGGGAAAGTGTCCCCCGCCCCCGCCCCGCCCCATTGACATCCCTACTGTGGGGTGGTTGAGAGTAAATTATGTGTTGTAACAATTTTTATATAGTATTATTCTTCGGTTGTCATTTGATAACAGTCATGATTTTTTCTTCAGTTTTGGAATTTCCACGTTATGTGTTATGATTCTATTCCTATTTTTTCTCTATGTTCTGTTTGTTTTTTTTCTTCTTTTCCAACAAGTACATTACATGTGTTAATGGTTCAATCCAAACCTTAAACAATTCATGTGATTTACTTTTAAGCAAACTTTCAAAACCTTGCTCAAAAAAGAAATAGAGAAAGTACTACTTTTAACAGATTATTAATACATATACCCATATCAACTTAATTTATGAAACCAATAATTAATAAAACTAATGAACCAAACTCCTCTATAGACCAGACAAAGAAAACTGCATTATCAATACATGTGCTTATTTGGCTTCTTTTTTTTCTTCATGGAAGCTCTTTTATGTTGGAAAGAAAAGGAAAAAGGTAAAATTATTTGAAGAAAGGAAGATTAGAGAAGTTAGTGGCCAACACAAAACGCAATAACAGCAAAGAAAGAGTAAAATCATAGAGTCAAAGGAGTCAAACACCAAACTTGTCTACTTTAAACGAGTAATTTGTTCCTTTTCTAACTACACTCTATACCCTATAGGAGATTCCTTTTTCTTGCTTCAACCCCATCCATGTGTCTACGATTCTTTACTTGGAAAATGGAAAAATAGTATCTCAAGTCCTAACCATAACAAAGCATGTTCAGTAATGTACTTTATTCATATATCAGCTTAAAAGGTAGGACCGTGCTTAATTAATTAATCATATATCAGTAATGTGGTCAAATTTTTATACCTCATTCAACCATTTATCTCGTATTTTCTTAAGGATTTAATTGACATGTATTTACAGTGTAAAATAATTTTATATTATTTCTAATAAAAAACTAATAATTTATTATATTATTAAATTGTTTTAAAAATAAATAACTTATATCATATAATTCAGGTTATAGCTAAAAAAAAAAAAAATAGAAAATGTACTTATATTATAACTTATAACTCATAAATAAAAGTAATTATTACAAATTTAATTAAAAGTGTTTCGTAAAAAGTAAACAAATAGCATCAAATAATCTATCTATTGAGTATGTCTTACAATCTTGCTTGCGCCTCTTATGCCTTATCTATTGTAGTGCATCTTATGCCTCTCATAATATTGCCTTCATCGTGTTCCATATAAGGTGCCTTCTGATATCTCCCCTCTAGCGGTGGAACTCTTGATTAAAGTGATGAGACAAACATCCAAACATAATAAAATATTTTTTTTTCTTATGAAATTATAGTAATAAAAGTAACACTTAAAATAAATATTTTTAATTTTAAATTAGTTTTTAAATATAAGTTATTTTAAAATTATTTAAAAATATAATATAGAATGTAAGAATCTTTTACGGTGTCTATATACTTAACTATTATATTTTTTGTTTCTGTGAAATTATAACAATAAAATTAACACTTGAAATAAATATTTTTAACTTTAAAGTAGTTCTTACATAATTTTCAAATATAAGTCACTTTAAACCGATCTTTAAAAATAATATAGTATGCAACAATCTCTTACGGTGTCTTTATACTTTATTACTATATTTTTCATATAATATCAAATAACAACCTAATGACAAACAACAAGATACCATACAAAAGAGATGTGAGAATCCAAACACAATAAAATATTTTTTATTTTCTTAAAATTATAGCAATAAAAATAACACTTGAAACAAATGTTTTAAATTTTAAAGCAATTCTTACACAATTTCAAAGATAAGTCATTACATGTTGATATTAAAATATAATATAGTATGCAATAATCTTTTAGTGTGTCTGTTGTACCATAACTTTTGCTCTCTCATTTCATCAAGCCATTCAAAATATAAAATTTGATCATCAAAAAAATCAAGAAGGTCAAAAATCAAACTTTGCAAGACTTGAAAAAATTTTCTAAGTATTTTCTATGCATGATTAATTTCATTACCTCATGACATCTTTCTTCACTACAATTCAAAATAATTCAAGATGTTACAAATAATTCAAGTTATTACAAGACTACATTTTTTAAGTTAGAATTTGTTAAGTTACAAATCCTAATGCTTTGTCTTGTTTAAATTTTTCCTTTGACTCAATCTCCAAAACCTTGCCACCACTACGCTAAAAATAAGTTATGAAAGCGTTTTTTTTTTGCCTTTAAAAGCGCTTTCTAAGGTGGCGCTGCTATAGGTTTTAGCAGCGCTTTTTGTTTAATGAAAAGCGCTTTCGTAGGTCTACCTAATACAACACTTTTTCTAAAAAGCGCTCTCTTAAGTAGGCTTTTGGCAGCGCTTTTTTTATGAAGAAGCGCTTTCATAGGTCTACCTAAGGCAGCGCTTTTTTTTTCTGAAAAAGCACTTTCATAGGTGGTCTTTTAGCAGCGCTTTTGCTTGGAAAAGCGCTGTCATATGTTTACCTTAGACAGCGCTTTTTGTGAAAAAATGCTTTCATAGGTTACCTAAGGCAGCGTTTTTCTGAAGTATTTTCTGGAGCATTTTCAGGAGCATTTGCATCTTGTGAGTTTTCTTGATTACTAGCCATTTGACCTGTAATAATGAAAAAAAAAATAAAAATGAAATGACAAATATAAAAATGAAATGACAGGCATTTAGGACACTCATTTAACGATGCATACTCGTTTCGAAACAAAACACAATAAATACAAGATTAACATGCAAAACACAATAAAAAATAAATCAAAACACCAAGTTTCCTGACAAACTAATCTTAGAGACAAATTACCAAGTAAAACTTTTCATTTGGATCTGCCTCAGGAAGAGGATCGTCACGTATGAACCTGGTCTTGGGGTCATAATGGGCTGAAGTTACATCAAGATTAAGAAGATATTTTGCGGTATCCTCTCGAATTCGTAGGTTCTTGAAGGTTTAAGACATTTCAGTAATAATCCATGCAAGGAAATAATAGAAGTGTTACTAGTAAATATGAGACAAATCAACCTGGTCTTGTAATTTTTCAATGATAGCCACATAACATTACCTTACAGTTCCTGTACTCCCACCACCTGTTGTTCGCACACGCTTCTCGACCTTTGCAAAGTCCATTTGGGATGATCCAATCGAAGCAGAATCAGAATCTCTCTCACCATGAATTTCACACGCTCAGGATCTAAATTTCAAAACAAACCTTCTTTAACGCAATAATCTTCCCCGTTAAAGTATCCCTTCTGCAATACTTTTTGAGATAAGCTCACTATACATCCTGTTGCAGAGAAAGCATACATGGGATTTAATATACACTGAAACAAAATATAACCTAGACAAATTTACTAAAACTGCTAAAACTAAGACTTATAAGCAAACAAAAGATACCTACATGCGAACATTATGTCCCTTACAGTTCCTCTTTATAAACAACTTTCTTTGAAGATAGCCACATAACATTACCTTACAGTTCCTCTTTATAAACAACTTTCTTTGGCTCTTCTAATGAAGCATTCAGTCAGTGAAAATCTGCAAAATCTAGAAAATGAACATGAACATAGTCATGTATATCTCCAAACCTGTCAACAAATCTAAACAGTTGAAATGAAACCACAAAAATATATAAACAGTCATAGAATTTAAGGTTTCAATGGAAAATCGGAGGGTTCTTCGGCGGAGATCGGCGGAAATCAAACCACACATAAAAATGAAAAGAAACAAACCCTAATTTTTGTAAGACCTTTTCTCCAATTTCTAACCATTGTTCTGCATCTTGCTTCCTAACATAAACCCTAAAATCAGAATAAGAAAAAACAACAACAACATCACGATTCCAGGAAAAAAACATGTTAAACAATTAAAAAACAACAACAACAACACCATCTTTTTCGGTGAATGAAAATGGGTTGAGTGTGTTGAAGAAGACACAACCGATAAGGAGATGAGAGAGAGCGAAAATAGCTTTCGGAAGAGAAAGAAATGGAGGTGACAAATGAGAGAGATGGAAGTGTAATGAGAAGTAGGGTTTAGGGTTTTTTCGTGAAGAAAATCTGACTGAGAATAGAAAAGTGATACGAATTGTATTTTGATATTTATTATAAAACTACCTACGAAAGTGCTTTCTAAAGGTCATCTATAACAGCGCTTTTACATCAAAAAGCACTTTCGTAGCATATCCTATAACAGCGCTTTTAAAAGCGCTTTCTAAAGGCCAGCTTTAGCAGCGCTTTGGAAAAGCGCTTTCTAAGGCTGACCTTTAGCAGCGCTTTTGAAAAGCGCTTTCTTAAGGTACCCTCTGAAAGGCCAGCTTTAGCAGCGCTTCCCAAAAAGTGCTTTCTAAGGGTGACCTTTAGAAGCGCTTTTGAAAAGCGCTTTCTTAAGGCACCCTTTGAAAGCGCTTTTTTAAGCGAATTTTTTTTAAAACCTACAGCAGCGTTTTGTTCCAAAAGCGCTTTCTTTTATGTGCTGTTAAAACTTATTTTTGGCGTAGTGCACTATGTTGTCCACCAAAACTAGATTTGTATCATGCTACAATATGCTGCCAAGTCCAAGCCTGCTAACAAAATAGCCTTGCACCAAGATGATTACTACATTCCAAAACTGCTATAAAAACAGCCCTGCTATGCTGTCTCTAAACATTGTCACAACCTGCTCCAAAACCTGTTATGCTGTCCTGCAAAACCTGCACTATATCAGTCCCATGTTTGCACCAAATTTGCATATAAGAGCTGCATCTAAAAGGCAATGAGACATCATATTCAAACAGTTCAAAAACTTGTTTGTTTTCCCCCAAATCTCAGTCAAACTTCATCTACAAATAACCTGTTTTCACAACATATAAGGGGTTGGATTTTAGAGAGAGAAAAGAGAGAAGAGAAAAAAAACAGAAGTCTTTGTAACCTTTGCTTATTCAAAAAAATAGATCTACTTTCATTCAAACAAAACCTCAACCCATTATTCCATTTTGCAAACTCTCCCCATAAACCAGTCATCCAAATACTTCATATCACATAAAAATGGTTCAAATACGAGAACAGTTTCTGTAGTGTCATTATCATCACCATTCAAACACAAACAAAAGACAATATTTTATAACTTGACTGAGTTGGAGAGTGGTCCAGCAGCTTCCAATACAGAGGGAGGACTGAAGCAATACCCTTGAGGTTCACTAAAGCCATCACAGCATCTGGAAAGAAGTTTAGACATCAAAACAAAATTGTAGTCTCAAGGTAAGTCTTCTTAACTATTGAACCTTTCATTTCAAGTGTCATTAATGATTCACTTTTGAGGATAAAATATAATAATCATTGTCTTTTGAAGCTAACCATTTACTTGATGTTCATTTTTATCAATCATATGTTATGTGATGACCTGTACAGACAATAAAACAATGTATAAGGTAAAAAACTGCAGCATGATTCGACACATCCTCACATGAGTCGACTCATTTTAGTTACATAACAGGGTATGAGTCGACACAAAGCCTTATGTGTCGATACATACTGCTATCCAGACCCAAAAATAGAAAGACAAAAGGTGTATGAGTCGACACAAAACACGAATGTGTCGACACATACGAGAAATGGGTCGACACATACCATTATGTATCGACTCATACTGAGTTGATTTGATTTTACAGGGGCAAGAAAAGTTATGTGTCGATGCTTAGATGCATGTGTCGACACATAATGGTTAAAAAATAATTTTTCCTTTATTTTACACTATTTTTATGTTTTCTATATATTTTCTTTATTGCTATTCAATATGGTTGTAATAATTAAGCTTATTTCATCCTCATTTGTAAATTGTATTTCCATCCCCCAAGTAATGTGATAGTTTAGGATTTTTAATTTCCTCAAATTTATCGTTTTCATATAATTGTTAGTAATTAAGGTGTGTATGGCAAGATAAAATTGACCGTTAGAAAACCCTAATATCAAAGACAAAAATGCATGCAATCAAAACACAATTCACACAAACACCTCTAGGGTAAACTCGCTTGTTGCCTCAGAAAATTGTCATGTCCCTCGAATGTGGGACGTTTTAGCAAAGATCCTTGATAAAAAGATCGTAGTCCCTCGATGACCCTTTGATTTTGCCCTCGGTAAAACTATCTTAGTCCCTATGAAAATTGCTAAACGTCTCGTAAGTTGCCTTATATGACTATACGATGACCCACACCCGTCCCTTCACATCCAAAGATAGGGCTTCTTATCAATCAATGGTAAGGTAGCAATATCTAAAGGAGGAGGAAAAGAACAAAGACCTTTTTGAGTAGGTATGATGCTCGTAGTTATTTGCTAACAAACTAAAACCATCTCCACACTTACACTTTCAAAAACATCTTCAAAAACAAACATTTCCTTGAACTATTTTAAAAACCAACACTTTGTATACATTCTTATAGAGACGAGAATCATTACAAAGTTTTCCGAAACAAAGGAGTTTTCAAAATATTTTCAAACTCACACCAATCACAAACACATTTCAGGCAAAGCATTTTCAAAGTGATCAAGCAACTAAGAGCCCATAGATAACTACGGATGAAAAGGGTACTAAAACATTCCCTTTTCATAACCTACCCCCCGAACTCAGAAAAATATCTCAAAAGGACTATCCTGTTCTTTTCACCCTTTCCTTTATTGGATAAAAAAAAGTTGGTGGCGACTCTTGATATCCGCAACATTTGCGATAAAACGCAAAAATACCCAAGTCAGTTCTCCCACCGTATTACAGAACGGGTGACTCTGCTGGGGAATTCTAATTAAAAAGTGGGGTTACCTTATAGACTAGATCACATTTTGCTTTCATTGTTTGATTTGTTTGCTTTACATTTATGGGTCCTCGTTTGGGTTTACATTGATCCTCTACCCGAATAGGGGAAAATCATTAGGTAAATAGAAAGAATTGTGGATATTGTACGATGTAGACCGATATTATTGAGACAATAGCTATGTTAGTGTGACACATTTGTGGGTACCCGTATCCCTTGTGGCGAATTAAGGAGAATACGGGGCCGATGTGTGGTGTCATAAATCACTAACAAACCTTAGAACCTTTAATTGAACAACTTGGCCATTATGAAGTAGTGAGATAGCCGGCTTTAGTGTAGTCCGAAGTTGGTTGATACTCGACACTACATTGAGATCAAACTTTCGAGATATTTCAGTTGCTAATAAAGAGGCTTGCGCTGAAATAATGCCCGATGAATAAAGATCGATGATATTGAGATTTCCTAGAACCCAATTACTTTCTAGGACAAGTTTAACCAACTAAACTTCAAGAGGGTACTTACCTATAAAACCCACGCAAGCCTAAACCTAAGGATTTGTTTGCTTTGCTTGTATATTTGCATATAACATCATGACATCATACCATAGCATTTTCAATAACCATTTCAAGGATCTCAAGGGTTTGTGATGCAGGTTTATATTGAACTAGATATCTATCAAGGGTTAAGAGGATTTATTTTCCTTTAGCCAAATGCTGTCGAAAACCAAATTACGATAACTTGAGTCAAGGGATATGACCCACTCGACATGGTGATCTCGATTCTCGTGGAAGGACATTCAACGGTATAAAGTTATTCATTCAAAGTTGTGATCAAAGTCCAACTTCTAACATTTTCTTGTGTTTACCCCGCGAGATCCTTGAAAACATTGCATCCACATACCATGCATCATATCATGACATGTTTTCCCCAAACAGGTTTTCTCATCTGCTTACCATTTATTTCAGTAGAAATGGCCCTCGAGCATACTATCAAGGACCTTCAGACTCAAAATGCTCAGCTTCAAGAAATATTCTTGAACCTATCCAAGGGGCAAGAAGAATTGAAAGCACTCCTCATTAAGAGCATGACCAAGAAGGACCCTGAGGATAATAGGGATGACTAGTTGGAACGGTTACAAACTGAGATAGCAACGATGAAAATCCAAATGATGGGACATATGTTGGGTCAGATGGCTCTTATCCAAAACTTAGCTCGGGGACAAGAAGACTTGAGAATTCTCGTCAACAAGCTTCATCAAGACGGGTGCAACCGCATGAAATAAACAGTTAAGATTGGGGATCAAGCCATTAACCAGCCTTCGATGAGACAAGAAGTTGGCTTGGTCGAGAAAACACTATCAAAATGGCTTCTACACCAAGGGTCCAACAACGACCTTTCCAACCACGAAAGGATGGTCAGTATAAGCAAGATGCGCCTAAAAGACAATTTACCAAGGTCAACATGTCCTTGACTCAAGCATTGAATCATATGTTGGAAGCCGATTTAGTTACATTGAGGGAGCCTCCT